TTACATTTCACTCACATGCCTTAGTGTAACAGATACCATCAGTATGAAAAAGGATTTCTCTCCCCATTTGATGGGGAGAAATGGCAAGAGTTTTCCAGACGGATTTGACAGGTGTTGTTCTGCTTCCAAAGCCTCCTTCAGAGCATGGTGATATCCAGTTCTCCCTGAGTTACAATGACTACCTGGGCCGTCTCACTGTGGTGGTTCTGAGGGCGAGGGGATTAAAGCTCCAGGAGGAGAGCCCTGCTGTTGGTGAGTGGGATTTCCTCCCTGCTATCAGCGCCATAATTCCTGTTTTAATTTGCTCCTTCCTCTGTCTACCCAGGCTTGTGCTGTGGGACTCTGATAGGAGCAAATAAACATCCTGGTGATTCGAGTGGAAACAAGCCATATTTTGCCCTGAGTCAATTAGATTTTGATTGCTTAGTTCTGCAATGTTTGGGGTTTGTTTCATAACAAATGATTTGTCCTGTGACAAATGATGTGTCCTGTGGTACCTTTTTTCTCCTGTTTTAGTACAGTGAGCAAAATCCTTCTGCTGCTCTCCAGTCCAGAGAAGGCAGCATTTCAGAGGATATTGACATAAACAGTTGCCTCAAGTCAAATTCCCAGAGGTAACAGCTGCAGGACAACTGCTTATGGTGAACAGCTGTCTTGGGAGGAATGGAGTTGGGAGAAAAAATCCCACTTTATGATAACCTGGCTATTGTTTAAAGGACCATGGCGTAATTTTCTCCCTTACTACAGAGGGCTTTTTCTGGTACATCGTATCCACGTGTCCCTGGTCTCAGAGATTACCTCAAAATGCTGTTTTTAAAATCCAACACTCAAAGCAAAAACAGATGAGGATCCAAACTTGTATTTCAGTCTGTAGTGATTTTTTGCAGAGTTTTGAAGCTAAACAATACAAATGCAGAATACACCTACCATTTAAAAAGAAAAGAGGTTTAGTCCTCTATATACACACATCAACTATGAAGTTTTTTTGACTGAACAAATTAAGCCTACAAAGAAGTCTCCATCAGATGAAGGGAAGGCACAGAAATGTAAGATCAAGGATGCAGGGTGGCAGATCCCAATCTGGCTGCTTATTTTAACTGCACTTATATTGTAAAGTCCACTGCAAAACTGCACCCTCGGTACTTTCTGTACTCCCTCCTGTCATGAGTGTTCCATGAATCTTTCACAATCTGATGTTATACTTGATATTGACTCCCAAAAGGAAGAAATACCTTAATCCATCTCCCAACTGCTTCTTGAAGGTGTCTTTTAGTCTTGAATTTCTTTTTCTCTAAGGTGTGTATGTCAAAGTCTCACTAATGAACCATAATAAATTCATCAAAAGTAAAAAGACAGCCACTCTTCTGGGAACTCCCAATCCTGTGTACAATGAAACCTTCAGTTTCAAGGCAGATCAGACAGAGCTGGATACAGCAAGCCTGAGTCTATCTGTGCTCCAGAGTAACAAAGGAGAAAGTAAGTTACATAAATTATTAGTCATATAAATTATTACAGTCAAGGTGTCAAATCTCTTACATATTTGAGACATGTTTAAACCTGAGAGGAAGTAAGTCCTGTTCAGCAATAATCATAAAACAGAAGTGTTTCGGCGTATTTCAAAAGCTGTCTCTTTAAAAGAAGAACAACTTATTTGTAGTTAAGCACATGTCTCTTTCAGAGCCTAAATTTCATGGAAGACATTAATAAAATCACTGTAGACTAGTCAATGCCAGTACAAGCTGTGCCTCTGTTTCACTCCAGTATCCTATCAAAACAAGCTTATGTGAACACTTGTGTGTATAACATACAACCTCCAAAATTTTGTGGCCATTCCCTCTTTCTAAGAAAATCTGAAAGAGGAATAGGAATTTTAATTCTCTCAGCAGTGAAGAATAAGGGAGATTAGCAAACATCTCCATTCCCTGGAAGAAAACCTGATGCTTGAGGCCACCTCTTACTAATTGCTAGAGTATCCATTAAGGAGTTCTGCTTACAGAAGCAAATCAGAATTCAGTATTTCCACTGCTCAGAAGAAAAACATCTTCCCTGCAGTGCAAATATGATGTCAACTTTCCCCATTCATAGCTAAAAATTCCAGGCATGAATAAACAATCTGCTCCTCAGCAGACATCTCAGCTGTCTCAGCAACTGCATTTGTTTTCTTGTGAAAATCAATTGCAAAGCATCATATGAATCCTAGTGAGGTTGCTGATGCCCAAAATTAAGGCACACTTCCACAATAAACCTGAGGTAAAGGGGCAGAGCAGATACAGATATTTGTACCTTGAAGATGTTTTAGTTTAACTGCAGGCAAAAGGACAGGCCTGCATTGACTGAACACCCACTTACTTCCAATACCTTTTAATGCTGAACCTCAGCAGGCAGAAGTTACAGAATCTGAAGTCCAGACTTACTCCCTCCAGAAATATTTTTGTTTTAAAATACCTTTGAGAACTGGCAGTACTTGGAGAAATACAGGCTGATATTCTAATCCAGGCAAGCATTTCAGAGAAGCATCACAGATATTCATCACTAACTGCTTTCTTTTTTCCCCAGAAACGCTTCTGCTGGGACGAGTAGTAGTTGGGCCTTTCATGTACACACGTGGCAAAGAACTGGAACACTGGAATGAGATGATCAGCAAGCCCAAGGAACTGGTTAAACGATGGCATGCTCTCTGTCATAGCATGTGAACAGCACTGAGAAAAAACCAACCTTAACATGGAAAAGCTCTTACTATCTTTCTCATCTAAAGGGTACAAAAATCTTTGCTAAGATTTTGTATCCAAAGTAGAAAACAGTAAACCAAACACAAATAAAAGATTTGGTCCCTGGTAGACTGGGAGTCTCTCTTTCCTCTTCAAAATATATGTTAAATTTAATTAATGTGCAGCTAAGCAAAAAAAACCCAGCGAAACATGATCTCTCAGTATTAATTATTTTGACTAATAAATTCCACTTCTTGGTCATGAGTTCTGGGCACAAATGACCACACATCATGTAGACAGAGCCCAAAACGACCCAAGAATTTCCAGTGATGACACCAGACCTATCTGCCCATTGCTCCACATTACCACAGTGGCTTCACCAAAGGGGAGAGAAGCCTAGTGAGCATGCCAAAACAGACAAAGCCCAAAAGATACTGACTAATACATGTAGAACTTATCTAATATAGAGGCATTATATTTAAAGCCTCTTTTGAACAGGAAGGGTGAAGGCACTGCTTATTGGTCACACACCTAGAAGCAGCTGTTCACATCCCTCAGCACAATGTATTTCCTGCAGTAACTCAGTTCGGTGTTTTCAGCTGACCCCAGCACTTTGTGTTGACAATAAGGGACAAGCAGAGAAGTCACAGAGTCACCAGTGACTGGAGGCTATTCCAGTACTGGAGTGTTGGAATACTCTGAGACAGTAAGATGAAGACCTGTCCTGTCCTTTTATATTTCTCTCTAAACACATCTCTGGTGGAGACAGAGCACTGATTACAAGAGCATTGGGTTTGACCTAGTATGACCATTCTTACTCTGAAAATCCAATTAGCTTAAGGCCCCTGGGCATGTGTCTGTTTTAGTAGTAGAGTCTTCTTCACTAAGTAAATTACTGCTCTGTAAAGTAATTCAGAGCAATTATTCCTAATCAAAATAACATAGGACATTTTTCTCTTCTTGATTTTTCACTGGGGACCTGAGCTCTGTACCCTTCTCACTGTACAGTCATAAACCAGACACACAGACTGCAGCAAAACATTTTGCACAATCGTGTTCCATAACCTCTACAGCTGAGATCAAACCAACGTACTTTCAAACAGGATATTAATTCAAAATCTTAAAAAAGTTAGGCTTCTCTGGGGAGATGAAACCACTTTCCATTGTGATATTTTTATTACCTAAAGGAAATGTTATGAATGAGAAGATATCACAGAGGAATTGTAATACAACAGACTTCCCTGATCCACCATCTGATACGTTACATGGTACCCTCACAGTCTGTCTTGCTAATTACACCACTGGATACAAAATGAGCCTAAACTCATTACATTTAACTGAATTTGACAAAGTGCTCAATCCTCCTTATATCTTTGCTGAAGGAGTAATACCAGCAACTTAAACCCAAAGAGCTGTATTCCAATTTAAGCCCCACAAAACTACTGCAAACCAATCTGATAAACAAAGTTACTGCCTTTGTTCTGTAGAAAAACTACACAGTTATCGTACAGCTTACATATTACTAGAATATAATGATTTTACCAAATAAATTTTGTCTTTTATTATTTCAATCACACCAATAAAGATCTTAAAAGTTGTTAGTAGTGTTTCAGACAGTTGGTTTATGAGCTTGTGCAAGAAGATGCATGCAATGTAGTGTCTGTTAACAAATACCTCTAAGGTGGGAAGTCACCTGTATGACCTGATGTACAGTATAGTCCTCTCTTCTTCTTATACATTAAAGTAACAATACTTTCAGCTTGTATGTTCAGCAATTTCAGCTAAATTGTGAAGTAAAAAATTCTAATGCACTCACCAAGGTACTTGTACTCATGGTCATCCAAGTGAAACAAATAAGAACGGCCCTTTTTGACTCTTCTTGAAGAAGAGCTATTTCAAAGTGAGAAACATCACCAAATAAGGAGATGTAATACAGTGTTTTTAACTGTCACATAATGAGTAATTTTTTGTACCTACTGCCTTTTATATAATATCCATCTAATCCTGTGCTTGAGACTTACCTTGAGCTGAAGGAGAATGATTATAAGACAATTCTGTTTTACAAGAGAAAAGAGGAGCAGCAAAATTGCTGAGAGCAAATGGCAAAAAATTCTGCTGTTAAACCACAACAGCAAAACAAAACCACCAAGCTACAGATAGCATATGGGACAAAACAAACAAAAAATTGTGTAACTAAAATACTGCTGAATTCTGTCTGTCTTCCTCTAACGTGCCAGGTCTAATGAAAATTCAGTCTCTCAATAGTAGTGAATTTTTCTGAGGAGAAAATACTTCAGATACTAAAGAAATTGCTGGAGTTTATTAACATAATTATTAACATAAAAATACATGTATAAAAATATACTTTATGAAAATTCATTAGTATTACTCCCACAGTATATACTATCAGCAGATATTCCATACCAGTCCTTTTGATGGTTTTGCTTTTTCCGTAAGTTAAAACCAAAGTCCTATATTATAGAGATTGCTTCCTTCAGCTAAGTCATTTTTCTTCTGCTTCATATCTGTGTGTCCTTATGGTCTTTGTTACTCAGTAAGTGCAGAGGTCAAAGATCAGGATGAAAATTAAGCAGATGGAAATCTTTTTGTAAAGGATAGCTGTTGTCATCTAGCACAAAGTGGCTTCTGATTTCCAGCAAATAGGATGCTTCTGTATCTGCCAGCAGTGAATGACACAGATCTGCTACTATTGTGCTGTAAGTTATATCTGAAGAGGGCACTGCAAAACACAAAACAATTCAATTTACACATGATTTTCACAATAGCACCTAACATTGAAGTTCTACCTCCATGAAGCTCCATGGAATTACTGGAAGTGAAGTGCAACATCTGAATAGAAAAATAACTTTTATTTTTAATTCTTTTTTTAAAAACAATGAGCTGAGCCTGTTTCTCATTAAACTGTTAACACCTGTGAATCACATAAACCACCTCTCAAGTGAAACAGTATTTATCAAGTGAAGCTTGTCTGAAACACAGCTCAGTGTTTCAAACCATGAAAACATGCCTATTACTTCTAAAAGCTCCTAAGAGTCTCTATTTTGCACATAAGGAATCCATTTAGTTATTGAATATTTAGGTTTATAACTACAACTATTTAGTTAAATAATAGGTATTCACATCATCTCACCTCCTGTTGTTGCAAACTCTCCTCTGAAATTCTGAGTCTGCCAGACAGCCACTGAAATATTCTTTGATGTTGGTTGTTTAGGGATTTTTTAAACTGTCAATGATTAAAAATTTTGCTTCCATTGTGAACTTTGCTGCCTGTTTCTATCACAAGTAATTCATGAATCAGTACCTACTGATCTCTTCAGCCAGTCTGCAGGAATATTGAGGAAGATTTTTTCCAGTAACTCAGACACCACATGAACATAAATTTCATATCCTTCATCTTCTACTGTCATCAAAGCAGGTCTAGATCAGAAAACAAAAGTTTCATGAAAGTTACCTGCTATGGTTTGTTTTTTATTGAAGTAAAACTTAAGAAAGCACTACAATTTAATCTTACTCTGCAACAAAATACCAAGAAATAGAAAAGTGAGAAAATCTCTACGTACTCATCTGTCAAATCTGGAATCAGTTTGAGGAATACATAAGGAAATGGCCTTAAACTGAGACAGGAGATTCAGATTATACATTAGAAGGAAATTTTTCACTGTTAGGATGGTCAGGATTGTCCATGGAGGTGGTGGAAATGAGATGGTCAGGATTGTCATGGAGGTGGTGTGTCACTTGGAATTGTACCATCTGTATCAACATCACTCAATACTATGTCTTAATACATCACTTTATAGCCACATAATACCAAGGCATATCTTTGTACTGTAATACCATGTTTTCACAAGCAACTGAACAAATAAAAATCCCTCCTTGAAATATTCCCAAGTTGATGCATTCTTACTAAATTGATCAGAAAAAAAAATTTCAGTGAAAAATGTCAGGCTTTTCTCTGAAAAAAATGGATATGCAAATTCTACATTTAGAATCTGCATTCTCAGGCTGAGAATACAAACATTGGAAATCCTTATTATTTTTTTACCGCCTTTTTTGCAAGAACAAATTGAGGTCCTTTGTACCCACTGAGATTTTATAGTCTTATGAAAGACTGGCAGAACCTTTTCAGTTAAGAAAAAAAACCTCATTGCACTTAATCCTCCCTCACAGGAAAACAAATAGCACATAAAGATGTAAGACTATTTTGCTTACAGGAAAAATACTAAGTCACTACCTGGTTAGATAAATAGAATATTTAATTCATAGTTCATTAAGTAATAGTATTTAAGCCAATGATTCATTAAGCTCATTATGAGTTTAAAAAGTATTTGAGAAAAAATCTAGATAGAAAATTTACATATTCAAGAATTCTATTACATCCATAGTTGCCTCCATAAACATTCTCTACCTACATGTCTTTCTAGTCACTATGATAATTACATTTCAAAAGCCTATTTCAAAAGATAATGTGAGAATTGAACAATTAGCTAATAAAGATGTACCTACATCAACTGGATTCACTTAATTTAACTTCCCTAAGTGTGAATATCTGTGTCTCACAGTGCCATCTGGTGATAACTCACTATCTCTGCTCTCGGAGAAAGTTTATTGAAAACATTTGTCAGTATTACTTCTGCACAGCTGTAACTACTAAATCAGTTTAAAAACATGCTTCTGCATTCAAATGATTTCAGATTTAGGCTGGAATGAGATTCTCAAGGAATTTTCCTTTGGTCCTCAAGCTTCTAGTCCATCTTAGCTTTATCTGACACTGTACTGGGTAAACATCATTCCTGCATGATATAGTATTCAAAGAAATTAAACACTTAGATTTAAACTAAGAATATAATGTATAAATAATGACAATACAATACAGCAATTCAAGAACAACAACTTAAAAACTCATTAGAGAGACAGGGATTGCTAACCACACCTTAAATAAAGAATTTTAGATATGGGGGAAATTAAAATAAAGGAAGTTTACTTCCCTAATAATACACATTACTTTAGCTCTATTTTGTTTACCTGTAGAATGTTTTTACTTTGCTGTATGGCAAACATCTAATACACTGCTTGTAGATCATGTTCTCATCTGCCTGTAGCTCCAAACCACATTTGGCACAACCTGAATATGTAATCATAGGCAGAGAAGCCAAAACACATTCCAGTGAAGTGTCAGCAGAGAAGATGAGTTGCTTGTACTGACCAGTGGAAATGGTAAATTTCAGTTCCAAGATATGGGCTTTCACTTGAATCACTCCTACAAAAACAGTTCAAATCTGAATTAAGTTTTATTTAGAACTGAAAGCAAAATCAATGGCTACAGCTGATTCAAAACCAAAATTGCTATCAAAAACTTTCTTAGTTTTTCCCCTTTTGTTAACACATGATCAAATTTTTAGATTGTGAAAAATCCTTGTGGTTAAATATTATTTTAAAATACATAAAAGTACTACATTTTCAGGTACTTTATCAGTAAATGCCAGCATAGAAGGTGCCTGAATAAGAGATCAAAATTGTGCAAAGTGATTTTCCTCCCACTGTTTCAAAGACACTGAACAGCATAGATTAAACAACTTAGCTTTCCATTATTTATACATAAACTAGTGTTAAATGCTGCAAGAACAACTTTAATCACTTCCTAGAATTTAACACCAACCATAGCAATCTTCTAGGTTCATCTGGAAGAGTATGACTGTGTAAAATGTCATCTTTGTCCTTTTGTAAGAAGTTTTCAATAGCAGCAGCTATTTTACTCTTTACTCTCGAGAGTTCTAGTGTTTGAGAAAGACTGATAAACTTTCAGTAATTAGTCACATCATTACTGGGCTGGTTGGTGTGGACAAGTCAGCATTTCCCTCTGTGTTCCAAAGCTGTCATCACACACAACTATCTCTCCCCTGGGCTCATGGGATGAAGGCTGCATTCAGTTTGGCCAAGTACAGAGCAGCAGCCTCCAGAATAAATTCAGAAATTCAGAATAAATTCAGAACCAGACCTGGGCTACCTTAAAAAAACAGCCATCTTACTTCATCAACAGAGCATCTATTTTGCCTACTTATGCATGGCACAACAGACATTATAGAGTTATGGATAACATTTACCTGAGCATTTTTCTTCCAGGTGTGCCGAGAGCTTTGTCAACTCCATGAGGGATGTTTGACTTTTCTGAAACTTTTCCTTAAATTCAACTGCCCTTTTGTCATCATCAAACAAGCACTCATAGGATGACCAGGGAGTCGTGTGCAGTTCCAAGTCACCTGAGACAGAACTATGTTGGACCAGAAGGTATTTAAAGTCCCATATGTGGTCTACAGAACAAAAGAGCAAACAGAAGAGTTTACTTTCTATATAGTGGCTAATTTACAGGAAGCCAAAGGTCACTTGCAAGACTGAGAAACAAATCAGAAGACATTCTCATATGGTCAGCACTGGCAACTTCATTTTAAGTGTGATGACATGTAAGGTTTTTCCTTTCCCTATAAACTTTGCATGAATTGTCTCATAACAGAAATTTCATTTCACCTCTACCAAATTCAGCTGTCAAGACAACTCAGCCTTTTCAAAAAGAAACTAGCTCTGAAATTTGTTGTTAGCTCTAATGCTGTCAATGTCTCAGAGAAAAAAATCTTCATCTAACTAATCAGCTTCCATTTCTTTAATATGTCCATTTTTTAATCCTCTATCTTCACAGTTAACAATTTAACACAAACCTAGTTTAACCTAAGAGAACAAGACTAGGAATAAATCAAAATTTCGTAGTAGTCACTGCTGAAACACATTCTGTGTAATTCTTGCAAGAGATGCTTTCACTTAGTTACAGCTGGACTTGATCTCAAGACCATCAACAAAATATATAAAGCCTGACACAAGTAAGGTGGAAAGCAGAAAATGAAAAAAGGATTAAAAAAACCCAGCAATTCATGTTAAACCGTACCTAGACAATTGTAAGGAAGACCCAGCAAAACTGGTAACACACTTAAAACTCATGGATTTTTATAGTTACATAACCAGGCCCTATGCAAATAAGTGCATCTTGTATATAGATTCAAGTTTTTGAATATTTATGCCTTCTCAGTCTTCTAAAGTGCATTCAAATTCTGCTGCTGATGGCACTGCTTCTCAACAGAGGAGACATGTAAGAATTAGCATAAAATATGTTGCCCCTCCAAGGGGAGTATTTAAGGGTTGAATGGATAAATGTTACCAGCTGAACACTTAAAAGGAACTAACAGCATCACAAAAATCCTTCTACACCTACCAACAGGTACAAGGACCTTACCTTTTTTCCTCTGAAGCTGGGGGCACCAGGCAGCCCCTGCTCCCCACAGAACCATCCTACAGGGTTGATCTCTGTTCTGTTCTACTGTTAGAATAACTTTTCTTTGGCTGCCACCTCTGTAGCTGTACACAGACTCTGAAAAGAATTGAAATTACCGTACTTCTACAGTGAAAAGTATATAAGCACACAAACCCCATGTGCCTCAGTGTTACGGTGAACTCATGGTGTTACCACATTTTATGCTACCATTAAAAGCAAAGAAGAATACACCTACAATTTCTTCTGGACAGAAAATAATCTGATTTCTTCTTCAACAGGAATCTAGTTTGAGGGAGTGCATAAAGTATATTAATTTACTTTTATCCATCTAAGTACTCAGTAATTGGACAACTCCCTTTGAAGCAAGAGGTAGTATCTCAGCATCTTTCAGCTCCTACTCATCCTGCCTGGTATTGAGTAGAAAGAAATTGTACTCAATCTCTCAGCAACTGCTGTAATTGGAAGTTCCCATAACTTCTGTAGAATACAATGAAAGAAACATTTCCCTAGAACTTTTCACATAAAAGAAAACTATAGTCATGTATAGTCAAGGCATACTAAAACTATTAGTAATAGTACATAAAAATTGCAACAATTGACATCTCTACACTACCCTTATCCAGGATACTACTGCATGTTTGTTTCAGTTCCACACTAAAACTACAGCATTTTTCATAAATAATTTTTAAACAAGATGAAATATCTAACTAATATCTAGCTCCAAGATTTACATACTAGAGAAAATGATGAAGATTTCTGTCTTCCAAATTCTGCATTTACAACTAATAAACATGATATTGATGATGTGGGTAGAAATTTGTATTTTATTAATTCAAGATGAGAGTGCAATGTGATCAAATTTTTGTGCAAAGCTTGAAGTCAAGCAGTGAGAAACATTTTGCCTTGCAAAACAACTATTTAAGTTTCACCTATTTCAGAAGTCAAAGTTCAGTGCATGAACTTACCTGTTAACACAGAAATATTGGTAATTTTCAGGATTGAGTGCACCAAAGTATTTGGCTGGAGCTGATCTAGCTGCACATACCGAACATCATCCAGTCTCTGAACTTGTCGCTGTGGAATGTCTCTGAAGTGTGGAAATTCTGATGAGATGTATGCCAATAAGCCAAGGAGAACACCACCATCCACTAGAGGATAAACTTATATGGAAAAAAGGCCAAGTCACATACTGCTTTTTACACTTAGAAGTATATCACTTATGACTTGGAACATGTTTACACTGACAAAATCAAAAACAGTTTAAGAACAATTTGAAGGTAAGAAATTCCTGAGATATCTAACACTTGATCTGAAATTAAACTGCACTTCAGGGTATCAAGAGGAGGCAGATGAAGCTAACCTAAGTGCAATACTTTAAAATACACAGAAAAAAATCTCATATCATAGCTTGGTAAGAAGAAAGCCGTTCTTGATCACTGACCTCAGAATCTGCTGTAAAGAGCTGGCATCTCAATAGCAGACACCACAAAGACAGTAAGAACAATAGTGATACTTCCACAGTATTTTCTCCTCAGTCTCCAATCCTCTTTGGCCTGCAATTAATCACTTTCCCTGAATGGATCTTCTTACTCCATTTTGCAAAAAATTTAATCCTCATGAAATCTCAGACATCACACAGCCAGGTCCTGGGATAACTGCTCTTTCTTAAGCTAAACTTTTTTTTTTTTAAGAGTTCAGAGTAGTAGACATCAAACTTTACCATGGTCTCCACATGCCTATCTGATGTTATGTCCACATCTTGTGCTCAGGTGTTCCTGTCACACTTTTCTATTGTGTTTTGTACCTCTCAGTTGCACACAGTTCTGTTTTATCCCATGTGTGAGACATTGCCAACAAAATGGAGTGCTTGAAATAGCTCTTTGACTGTGATTTTCATGGCAACTTATGCACTAAAATCTTACATTCTTCTGGATTGAGAGCTGAGCAGTTCCCCAGATTCAGTAACTGACTGGTAAATGTAGACTGAAGCATGACCTCTCCGCACCAATGATTCTCATACATTATTACATCTGCAAGAAAAAAGCAACCTTATCAACTCATGTGTCAACAATATTGAAGTGTATCATATTTTTCTTAACTATATAACCATCTTACATACAGATATGTAAGGAACAGGGTCTGAAAGAGATCACTTGGAAACACAGTGATTATTTTTTTAAATCTACCAGCACCATTTACAATGAGCTAAAAAAAAAAAAATCCCGTTAGTTTGATGTAATTCTGAAATTCATTAGCCTCCTAGCAGACACTGCTTAGGTCTGGTAGCAACTTGTACTTTTCAGGAACAACTGTTTTAAAACACTGGCACCTTACAGAACCGACCTGCCTCCCCATGGCTGTGTCTGAGGGCAAGCTTCTATGGAATAGTCAATGTTCCACTGGCAGGATGACTGAGAACTCAAATGATCTAATTGATGTAAGAAAGCAACTTACAAATGCTCAGCCGTAGTTCCAAATTACTTCTAACATTCTTCTACTTTAAACAGGCATTTTAAAGATCCATACTTTAAGAAGGCAAACAAAAGAACTCTTACCTGTAAGCAGTACGATATCCCCAGGAAACACAGTGAGGGACCAAAATGCAGCACCACGCCACAGCACCACCTTTTTCTCAGTTTCTGACTGGTCAGTAACAACAATTGTTGCTACAGGAACCTTACACGAAGATTTTGGTTTAGTCTTCATCTGTATTTCTTTGATATGAGACGGATGTACAACTGTGACCAAAATATTGTACTTTTGATTTTTGATGCAGCAATTCTTAAGTAGTGATAGTTTCTTCTGGAGTTTCTTGAACTCTGTCATCCTGTCTGGATCCACTCTCACCCCAGAACCAGGTGGAGAAGAAGTCAATTTAGCTCTCTTGGATTTCACCTGTCTTTTAAATGTGGAGTGAAAAAGAGGAAAGGAATCTTCATACTTGCGGGGTCTTTTAGAGGAGTTCTTTTGAGAACAGTTCCCTTGAGAGCACAGTATTCCAGAACTCAATGGCTCAATATGGATTTCATTTACAAATTGCTCAGCAGGAACATTAAGTTCTTGAAACTTTTCTGCATTTTCCTGAGCACTTTCTTCCTGTCTTGTAGCTTTAATCCAAACATTTTCCCCATCATCCTCGGAACTGAAAAGTTCAAGAGAACTTGCATCCTCCTCCTTATATTCATTTTCAGTCACATTAGTAGTACATGTTCCAAAACCAGAATCACATTGGAAGTGATTATACTGTCGTTCTTCAGCTTTTTTATCTGCTTCTATTTCTGATAGTTTTACAATTCTTTCCTGCATTTCATTCTGTGCAAAAACAGCCACCTGACTCAAAGTCACTACACTACGAAATTCAGTGTCTGCTGACACTGCAGAGTCTGCACAGACCTTCTGTTCTTTTGGTTTGGACTCCAGACTTTCTTGGAAACACAGATCCATACATTGACTTAGATGTTCATGATGTTCACTTCTGTGACCTGCCTGAAGTCCCAAGGACCGTAGATGGATGCTGACCTGCTCACTACTGGCAACCAAAGCAGGAATGCCAGAGCTGTTAACTTCCAAAGGACTGGCTTTTCTCTCAGTGAGGTCTGGGCAGCAGGCACGTGATGGCTTCCCTTGTCCAGCTGATTCTGCACAGCTCTGGGGCAGGTGCTCCCCTGCAGCCTGACTTACACCTGCAGGTGTGCATCTATCTTTGGATACTTGACCATCAGAGCAAGTTAAACTTGTGCTCTTTTTAAATGTGCTGGTACAAGTTACTGCCATAGGGGCAGGAGATGTCAAATCTTTTCCTTCTTTTGCCATGAACCTGCCCTGCTGAGTGCTGTTCCCACTTGCAGGGACTCCTGTGAGTGTGGAGCTTTCTGCCTGGGGCACCGAGGGGGCAGCAGCACCCTGGACCTCTGCAGAAACAAACCCACGTGTATCACACAAACAGTGCAGTTCTCGCCATTTCTCACCAGCAGGGGCTGAACTACTCTGCTCTAACCCCTCCAGCAGGCTCGGAATACTGGGTGCTCCCACAAAAATATGAATCTGAGATCTTTTTGACATTTTTGACTGCTGTGTGAGTTTGGCTTTAAATAACGTGGTTTATGCAATAAGCACAATAATAAATACTAGCAAATGCAAAAAAAAAAAAAATTTACTTTTTCCTTTACAATTTTAAAAACGCCTAAAATTCATAGTTTAGGGAGTATTTAATAATTTAACTGGGAAAAACACTACTTGACTATTTAAACCCTATAAAATTAGACATACTAAATCTAAAAAGGGGAATTTATTTTAGATATATTTAACATTTATTTGTGTCAAACCTGCATAGAAAAATAAAATTACAGCAACACCTAGTTTCTGATTCTGACACATGGAAACACATTATAGTGAAGTTAAAATTATTGACCTATTTGTCTTTATTTATTATTGCTAATTAAACAGTCAAATGTGACTTCACTATTCAGTACTTAACTCATCTGAAACAGATGTAAGAAATCTTCACGGCATGGTTAGGAGATCATTTAATCTCCCAGAAAATTACAGTTTCAACTAAATGATTAAAACTCTAGAGCTATTTAAAATTAAAGTTTGCTAGAAATACAGTATTTTACATGCTGTTTTAGCATGAAACTACTGTTTCAGGCTATTAATGATCAATTATAATTATTTAATAATCACTAAGAGGTCAGTAAAGCTTGAGCAGGTGATTTAGCATTTGCTTTAATTCATTTATGTAACAGCAAACTACTCAAGAAATTACTAGCTTTTCTAGCTAATTAAAAATAAGCCCACTTACACAGCACACCAAAAGACCTTTCATTTTTAAGAATTTCTGCTGTATAATTATATTTTTAAAATATGCAGAAACAGCTATAACTGTTCTTTAAAATGGTGATTACAGCTACTTGTTTTAGGAGTAGTTTTTACTGTTGTTGTTAATAGAAGTTGGTTCAATAGGCAATTCTGCAGACGTAGAGAATACCAGAAAAAAATCAAGAGAAAATCCAGCTGTAAACAGAAGGAAAAGACCATTGAAACAAATGCGGCATTGAAAAATATGGAAATTTATCATTTAGCACTAATTAAATTAGCAACCATTTTCCTAACAACCCCACTAGGGGTCGATAAATCTACACATTCATAAGGCTCATTGTAACATGGAAAAACCATAAACATCCTGGAATACTGATCTCTGGTATATCATTGCTATCACTGGAAAAGCAATATACAGTCACTAAAATTAGACAGGGCAAAATATAAAGCTACAAAACCCATATTTTATGTACATGACAAAATAAATACCACTTAAAACATTGGAGTGTCCAAACTTCTGCAGTTGTACATTTAAATTTAGTCACAGAAAATGGTAACCTTTAAAGGACAATAACCAAAGCTGTGAAAACTTTGAGTTACATAAATAATGGTAATATATAAATAGCCAGAAGAACAGAACTGACAATCAACACTGAAGTAGAGCATTAGGTAAGGGAAAGACAAAGCAAAGTAATAGTGAGGAATCCCTAAAGAAGTGATGCTAATAAGTTTTGTAGATAAAAGGCTTCCTAATATACATGATGTTAAAAAGCCTAGTAACAGATCTGTGAGAAACAGAAAATGTTACTGTCAGTTCAAATGAACTTGGTAAACAAACAGTTATATAGTAATTTATCAGCCCCTCATTTTAAGTATCATTTCTCTTTTGCTTTTTGACATGTTTAAAGGTTTGTACGTTACACAAAATTTCAGAAAGTTTTACTTAATTTTCCAGTTCTGCAACTTCTCTAAACTTAGGATTTGTTTTCCTGACTCACATTTTGCAGTGCCAGTACATTCAAGGCTGGACGGGGCCCTGAGCAACCTGGTCTAACGAAATGTGCCCATGACAGGGAGTTTGGAACCTGATGATTTTTAAGAACCTTTCCAACCTGAGCTGTTCTATGATTCTATGACCAAAGGAACTTAATCTTGATGTTATTTAATGAATGTTTGCAATTAAAATACAGTTTATATTTTCAAAATATAAATTACCTTAGGAATGGTAAGTGACCTCTGCCAACTTCCTGATTTGTGCAATAGGTCCACTACTAAATGACCTACTTTGCCGATTTCCAAGTGACTTTTTGAGTCAGAGATGTCAAACTCCTTCCTGTATGAGGAATGACCAGTACCTAAAATCATTTAAGTCTGTAATTCAGAAAAAAAAATAAAATTAGTTTACATAAATACCCTGTACACAAAACTATTTAAAGAACCTTTGCTTTGTTGCTTTAGAACAGAATTATTACTCACTTAATGAGTTTTGTTAGTGAAGTTCTGCACCTTGTTATAAATGAAAGTCTGAAAGAACAACTCACTACAGATTTTAAAAGGTGAGCAAAAAAACTATCAATCATTTTAGTAAATTCTACTTCCACAAAAATAATCCATTTTATACTATAGTTAAATTATCTATGGGCAGACAGTGGGTTAATTAACTACACCAAGGATAACAGGAGCTAAAACTCAAAGATACAACTGAAACCTGAATGCACATATCCATTATACCTGTTAATTATTACACCATTTCCTAATTTGTGGAAAGCTGTTCTTTTCCTAAAAGCCAATGAAAGCCAAGCTCTTTATCTCTGAAATGGTCAGAGTCTGATTGATGGGTCAATGATCTATTAAAAAATGGTAACTACATCAGCAAGTTTTACATTTGCAAGACATTGCAACTGATAGTTGTATATAGTGTATTTCCTCCAATTTAAACAGTATTTTAGTGTATTTCCTCCAATCCAAACAGAAAGACAGGAATTCTAAATTTAAAGGTTTTTAAAATAAACTGTCATTTAACAGATTGGTAATCTCTAGTGTTCTGCAGCACACAGAACAAAACTAAAAATAGCTTTAAAAATCCTCTTCCCATGGTTACTTTTAAAATGTTCTGATGCTACATACATGACCCTAAAGTACCCCTAAAATACCCTAGAAATATTAATCAACTTTATTCCATATTTTTCTATTCATTAATAGTATTCACTCACCATGATAATCATTAAGCATTATGCCAAGGTAATTTAAGAGGGTGACACAACTTCAGCTTCCTATCATTGCTGAATATTCACAGTAGCCACATGTCTAAATCTCTGTTTTGAGAAGATACATCCAAATAGTCTCATCAAGTCTTTACTTAAGCAGTCTACACTAAAAGTAAATCACACTAATTTGACCTCCAGGTAAAAGTTTCTTTATGTCTGTTACACACTACAAAGTTTCAAGCTACAAATAGAATTGCAGAAATAAAAGACAGTAATGCATCAGAAGACAAAGGACTATAGCAATAGAATGCAAAAGTGTACCTTCCCCTCAAGAAACACTAAAGTTTTAGGAAATAAACAGTGTGTTCTTTTAACTTCCTTTGATTTGCTGCAGCTTGATGATGAACATCCTAAGTGGTGCGTGGTTAACGAATTGATCCCTAAAATATGCAAGGAAACATTATATTGTCATTTACCTGCTGAAAAGCTGGCCCAGTAAGTAATAAATACATAAAGTAGGATATTCCTTAAATTCTAAATTTGAGCTTCTATTGTGAACTTTGCCCTCCCTTATATATTATTATACTTGACTTTATACTCCTCCTACATGTAGTATAAAAAATTAAAGGATTAATTCATCTACCTTACAACAGAGGAAACTGAATTATTCATAGCCATCTTTGGAGTATTTAGTTTCAGTTCAATTCAAGCTGTAGGGTTGTTTGGCTGGGCTTTTCTTTATTCAACAACTCAACCTATGAGGCTGTGGAGTAGAAAATCTACGAAGACAGTTGCCAACAAAGGGAAAACCAGAAACTCCTCTGGCATTTCCACCAAGCTGCTCAAATCTCCCTCCAAAATTCAACATGATCTTTTCAAAAAGCCAGGTACTGCAGCTGCAGAGTAACTGAAAGAGAAAAAACAGCAAACAGTGTAGTAACAGTTTCATACACTTAGAAACTGAAACAACTCTGGGATGAAGTGATGAATGCACTACACTTTTGCTTGCAACTTGTGCAAGAAAAAGAAAGGTGATCCTTCTGCCAACAACTCCTGCTGGCACTGCAAGTGAATCAATATACCAGCGACAGCACCTATCTACTAAATCAGTAAGCTGGGTCCAAACATATTAAGAGGAACACAATGAAAAATAAAAATTGACAGAAGAAATCAAGCTAAGCAACTTGTAGCTGAAGCAAACTTACTCTACATAACAGTGAGGGATGTATCATGTGGGCTTAAAAGAAGATTAAACAAGTAATGAACGGCAGCTCAGGGAGATTTATGTATATTCCACTGGCCAAGGCTGGTGGGACCTAACAAGAAGCCAAGGGAACACAGATGTGGGGAGAACATACATGTACACATGGGCAACTGGGGAAATGGATAGGATAGGTCTTACTTCTGTCACCCCTTGTTTGGTGATTGTTACAATCACCAAATACCTTTTATCTGAATTTCAATACAAGGTTTCAGGCAAAGACTGTAGTCCTGTTCATAACTGACCTGTATAACCCCATGCAATTTTACACCATGGTGGTTGTTTGGTTCACATAAGTAACACCATGTTAGCACATGGAATACTGTTCACAGAGGCTGCTGTCAGCCAGACCTGTGGTATAGCAAGAATCCTGCTAGTTCATATCAAAATTGATGAAAATCACAAGTCTTCATTTGCCTACAGCAGTATCTGTAATTAGTATAAAGTTACTTCTAAATGAGGTACTTAGGCTATTATTGACCATAAAATAATTTCTATTAATACTTACTATTGAAGTTAAATAGCAACAATACTAATCCATTCAGTATTTAGTTTTTCTCACTGGCTGTTACCAGAGGGCTATAATACCATTTGGACTCAAGATAGGTACAGGTGGCTTACAAGTACATAAAACCTGTATTCAGCAATACATAGCCATAAAACATGAGGTACCAAATTTTTTTTCCTTATTTGGAGCAATTTCAGTAACAAGATGATTTTTAGCATATGGAACACCTATGGTTTAGGCATCACAATAGAAACCTTCCTAAATACTGCTGCAGCATCAGGGAAATAATTTAAACAAGAAATCAATGTTCTAAGCAGTTCTACAGCCTGACACCGTAAAAAATGTTATATCAAACTACTGAGTAAGAAGAAGCAAGTTGTTCTTCATAACTATTACTGAAATATTAATATATAAAAAGAAAGCAAGCAATCAAATGGCATTGCTATTGCTAACATTTAATGTGTATCTACTTGCCTGCAGGATCAGGGCCTGTGGTTACTAAAGTTGTGCTCTAGAAGGACAATATTTCCCTGGATGTGAAACAAAGATATTTCTTCTCTAAATACAAGCTTGGATCATATAAAGACTTCTATTGAGCAGTTGCATCAGCCATTTTATTTTACCATTACTATTTTTTGGAACCAAGTGATGCAAAAATCTGAACACTGATAATACACTTTTGATACAACCACTCAGAGAGTCTTCATAGTGTTTGAAAATTGGAGTAAAGGTAGTGGGCTTTTGTGACTACCTTGATAATTCTTTCCTCACTGCCTTTGTGCCTTTCGAGATGGCCCCTTAAGTAAATGCTATTTATTGATTTTAGTTTTGCAACACACAAAAGCATATAATTAAGGAGATATGAGCATCCAGTGGCTGCTACAAACAAAAGAAGTTAGAAGTTCTAGAGAACACTGACCTTTTGAGTAGAAAAGAAAGATAAAGGTAAAAGGTCAAAGATACACAAACGTGCCATGCACGTTTCGTTGAAGAACATTCATTTCCCAAACCCTTATTTTTGGGAACTAGTTAAACAACTAGACTTTCTGTCAAGAAAGATATTGTTCCATATATTTCAGCATATAAAATACCTCACAATATTAAAATAGCATCATTGTGGCTTTTTTCAGAAAAACTATTTAGCTGGCAGAAAATTTTCACATGTATCATAACCAATGAAAATTTATGTTGGGACTGAAACCTGATAAACAGAGGTGGACAAAACAATACAGGACCTAAGATGAAAGCAAAGTAACTGGTCAAAGAAACATCATAATAGTCTGACTTCCATCAGATTAACTGCTGGTAGATTTGACTTATCAGGACAAGAAGATAAATATATAAGAACTATTTAAAATACAAAGCCACCAATATTATTTTCTCTTTACAAAAGCCTTATTCAAAAAAGATGAAGTTTTATAATGAAAACCTGGATGCTGACTGCACATTCATAACCAAAAATGAGATATTGTCAGTGTTTTGGACAACAGCCATAGGTAAGACTGTCCTTTTGCTTTTGTACTTTGGGAGACAAGGTGTTGAAAAGGTGCATTTCTTAAGTCTGGCATGTAAAGTAATCTACTTTATTTTGTCACTATGTAAGTAATCTACTAGTGCCAGAAAAATGTCATTCACTCTTCACCACGAGTGGTTATGTTAGCAATAGACCTTAACAGAAGCTGCCTCTTGCCTTTAGGACAAATGGGATACTTCTCACTTGTCAGCATCACTAAACAATTCAAGTTCACTGTCTGGCTACTGAAAAAATCAGACACTCCAATAAGTCATATTGGAGCACACAAGCCATCACTAGATCAAGTCATGTACTTTTATACTTCAAAACTACAAGCTACACAAGGAGCTACAGAGAAGGCAGGTGGCACATGAGCCCACAAGACACTTTAGACCAACAGCTCAATCATGACTTCATTTACTTCATCACTTTTTATACAGGACCCCTCCAGGAGAGCAAACATTTAACCTTCCTGCAAACATAAATGGCAGCAAGTACTTCTTGTCAGGACTGAACCTACAGCACCAGACCTATCTATCCCCTCCCCACCCCAAACCACATTGTGCACATTTTATCTGTTTCTCCAGTGTGCAGCTACATCCTTTATGTGGTTATCATTAATGTATTTCTGTGAGGATCAAAGGAGCTGGCAATCCAATCCAATCAATAGCTGATCTCCTCAATACTTTCATACCTCAGGAAGATGAAAGCTGACTTTACACACTTCTATAGATCCAGTGTCTCAAAAGAAGAGTTCAGACACATGCTTTGGATGTGAGCATTGTAATTTAAACAAAACACTTGACAGATATTAA